TGTAATAAAATGATAAAAAAAAAAAAAAACATTTAATGCGAAATATTGGCTATCGCTAGCTTCTGCTTTTTCCTACCTGCCTGACAATATGTGGATTCCCTATTTAAAAAAAAAAAAAACTGCTACTGCTTTGGGGCGAACCAGTCATCGCGAGTCCTTTTCGTAAATTTTTATTCGTAGCCAAGCGCTACTCGGCAAATGCGTGTAACGTCCTTGCAAACAAGTGATAATCGAAAGCATTCGAGAGGACAGGACGTAGTCAGACACTATGTTATAAAAGTGGGTACTACGCTTATTATTCATAAATATAAGATACTACAGCTGCGCATAGTACAAGTGCATAGAAGAAAGATTATAAAGAGCATTGCTCTCACCAAGGATTTCACCCGTCATCAGTAACGAACGTTTAGCTTTGATTCAAAGTTAAAGATGACGAAACGAGAATTGTTTGATCGTTTTCTTCGATATATAGGTTATGGAAATCAAATGATAAACGTTGTTAAATAGCTCTTAGCGTTACATTGGTATCAATTTCACTTAATAGAGCCCGAGAATTTGTCCTTCTATTCAACAGAAAACACATAAAAGTACGCTCCAAAGTGAAGCTATGGCAAGGAGCGCATTGACATCCCAGCCCATATTGCATAGCGCAAATGGTCACAAGTGTTTTCGGGCTGAGTGAATTGAGTCAACATGGCATTGCTAATTAATCGATCAAACTATTGGATCATACGCAAGAACCAGAGCCTGGCCGGATTAATGAACAATCCTTTTATTACATAAGACTCATTGAATTCCTTCGATCAACGCTATAATTCAATCGGACAAACTTTTCACTTTACTAATTGTAAGTTCTATATATTGATTGAAGCGAAGCTTGTTATCACAAATCATGATATGAAGAGACTTCTTCCACTTTAACATTATTAGGATGAGAAAATTTGGAAAAAGAGCGAGAAGAGAAAATCTTCCAAAGAATGTAAGTTTATTGCACTTCATCGAGTTTAATTGCACCAAGTTCACTCTACACCATTAAGACCTCACAATCGACATCAGTCTGCAATAGTCGTAAAGCTTCTAACGAGTTATAAAATAAACACAATATAACATCATCTGCGTACATAAAAATTTTTGCAGATTAAATAATCACATGGGGATCGTTAAGATGCACATCAAGTGAAATAGGGCCTAAAGGGCTGCCTTAAGGGACCACCGAGCTTACTAAAATACCATTCGAAAGGTAGGATTTTAAGAGAACGTTTAGCATTCTATTTGCCAAAAAAGATATTATCCACTAATCCAAGTCTGGCGAAAATCCAAGACGACCAAGTTCTGAGCCTGAATGATTTATGATTTATTTTATCTGACAATTCTCCGAGATCGTCATATGAAGGCAGTGCAATGTCCCTAACCAGGTACAAATAAATTCAAAACTTTTAGTAAATTCCTTTGAACGTTTAAGTATCCGGGGATCGCACGTAAGGTTAACGTAGTTTGCAATAAAAACATTCGAATATAATGAAATTTAAATAAAAGTAACATATGCTGAATTATATATATTATATAGAAAAGAGATAAAAAAAAAAAAAAATCATACTTGCATGCATAGCATACGTAAGACTCTACTAAGAGTCATACATAGAGCGTTGGTGACATCTGAAACGTGTACTGTTACACAGAATTGTCGCATGTTCTAGTTAACTACCACATGTTATTGTTATGCCTTGCAAAACTCGGAACAAAACACAGAACAAAACTATCTATATATACATATACATACATATATATATATATATATATAACGTATTCTATGAAAGTTTAGTCTGTTTTAACATATGCACACAAGCATAGAAAAAGATTATCATTACTCTCTGTTGTATGTGTACATATGTGTCGTCATGTTAAGACTGTAATTAAGCAAACAACAGTGTAACAAACAACATACAGGAGATCAACTTGAAGAACAAATTTCGTACATCAATGCCTATGAATCGTATCATGATCAATATGATCAAATTTGCTTTAAGGCAACAATACATGTTCGTATGTTATTGCAGTTATCTAAAATTCTACAACAACAAAGAGGAGGAAAAGACAAATAAGGAAAATAAAAGTGTATTTATTTTGGCTTTGAAACAAGACGAGAGTAAAAATGCAAAAGAAACTTTACATATGCGTTCATCAATAACATGTTGATGATGATATTAATCCGATCTTATGCAAATTTTCATCTTTAATCTGATCATTGAAATTAATTTTTTTTTTTGGTTTTTTTTGGTTTTTTTGTTTTTTTAGTTTTCTTTGATTCCTTTTCACTTTTTCTCTTCTCTTCTCTTATTTTTTTTTTTTTTTTTTTATTGTTTATTGATGATTCGAGTTGAAGACATAATCTTCGTTAAGTCATAATTTACGTATAAAATGAAATTGCGGTGCACTACTACTTTAGGGCTTAGCTAAAGTGTCCCATTATCTTGTAATCCCATAAATCTGCTTTCTTTAAATGCCTTAAAGAGCTATTTGTCAAACTCAACAATAGTCGATTAACAATTAACGATTCCGAAGTAGGCAATCAACTGAAAACTGAATGAACTAATTTACGGAAAGAGACGAAGATAATCGAGAAAGTTATATAAAAAAAAAAAAAAAAAAAAAAAAAAAAAAAAAAAAAAAAAAAAAAAACTTTATTATAATAACTTTTATATACTTTCGATATGTTCGGGAGTATTCGAAAAATTCCATAGGATACGTACATCTTTCTTTCTTCTTCTCCTTTATCCTCAATCCGTTACTGGGTATAAGAGATGATATTATTATGTTGCTGTGTGCATAATTTCGCCTATGGTTCTCAATCCTGTCCAATTTCGATAAGCGTAGCATGTGCCCAAAATATGCACTTTGTGGCTTTTTCCAAACCACTTTAATAGCTCATGCTCCGACCTTATTCTCCTCAGGACTTTAGAATTGGATATGCGATCTGTCCACTATGTTTTTCTCCAAGGCTTCCAGCCTCTTCATTCCACTGATTTTTAATGTTCATGAGGGGATAAACTCGATTCCCGACTCGCTGATATTATTTTCATGTCTCTTATACGATGTTCTCGTCATTTCTATTGTTCTTTTCCTTTCCACGTCGCTGTGGCCAATCTTCGTGCAATATGGATCCGCGGTATGAAAACTTGGAAACACTTTCATTGATAGAATTGCATATGGAATTTTCGATCGACTTGCGATCATAAATTTGATTTTGCTGCTATTTGACTTTAACCGGAAGATCTTACTTTGATCATTTATATACTTAATTGCGCCATCGTTTGCAGATCCTGCATATTATCTGCTAGGATAGTTGTATCATCCACATGTCGGATGTTGGCGACAAATTGTCCATTGACCTTAGTGCCTGTTTTGATTGTTTGAATAGCTTCTTCAAAGACTACCTTGGAGTAGACGTTAAAAAGAAAAGAAAGCAGACAACATACAACCTTGACGAACCGCCCTATTTACTCGAATATAATTTGTTCTGACAATACAAATTTTCGATGCACGGTATACCTTTTCCGGCAGTACTAAAAGTACCTTTCAGCATATGTATTAATTTGTTATTGCTATATATATACTCTGTCAAACGATTTTTCCGCGAAACATGGGTATCATACGTCTTTGCTGCTATTTGAAGTTTATGAACAGAGTAATGGATGTAATGGATGTAGAAAAAACTCCTATCAATGTTTTAGCAAAATTCAAATCTATTTATCGATCAATAAGCGAAAAATGCGCGCGTCACACTCCTTAGTCTGTTAACATTTCTCGGGTAGCTTGCGGACGGCCTCGCGGCCGAAGCTTCATGATTTCAAAACAAAGGACGCGTCAACCTATTTTGACGCATCTTCAACTTTGCAGAATCGGTAATTTGCTAACTACGACTGTATCGATCTGAGCCAGTGGTAAACGAAAATGGATAGTTGTGTGAAAATACGTCGCAGATCAAGTCGAAGATCACTTCATGGGCAGCTTCTGCTGGAGGCAAATGCTTTTCAAAGTAAAATTTTTTACAATACATTTAATCAACGACTTTCCAACCGCCTTCCCTTCAAACCAATTCAACCATCAATGAACATCGATCTCTTTACACTTTGCTAACGTTAGCCCGTAAACAGTTTAAACTTGGGAAGCAAGCGATATCGATTGGCAAAACCTACTTCTTTCTACACCTATATATGTTTTGCCTCTTTCTATTAAAATGTGATTAAATCGCATTGATTGTGAGGATTTCCACGCGATTTGGCAAAATTGATATAGCAATTTATTGTGAAGATGTGATTGCATCAGCGGCACATTGTTAACCTTGAAGGTATTTTAGCTTAAAATTAAGTTATATGTTATATGGTTAAAGTCTTCCTATTCAATAATAATATGCATACCTTTGTATATATATATATGCAGTATGCATTGTTCATAATTTTCGAGGAATTAAATTGAAAGATATTAATATGCATGCAACCACACAGCAATAACCTGTGCTATCGTCCTTTCACTACCATAAATTGACACCTTATTATGACAGCGGTTACCAAACTACGCGACACTCAATACCGATAAGCTTTAAAAATTATTGACAAATGCTGATGCTATTGTGCGAAAATTGCAGATTTATTTAATAATAATTCTTATAAATGCGTTTAGCATTAAAAGCTACGTAGACACATATTTGTATATATAATAAGCCAAAAAAATAAAAATAAAAAATAAAAAATAATAATAAAAATATATATATACTTATGTGTGTGTGTGTATCGTGGATATGTAATCAACTTGGCATCGATCCTTTTTGTGTAACATTAAAAAAATGCGCATCCAGGACTAATTGAAAGATATGCATAAGCGAAATAAGATAAGATTTAATGAAAATTGATCAAAGTTCTATATGCTCATCAAATAAGTAAACTTTGTACTAAAAGCAATAAAAAATTTAATTGAATATCATTTTCATTCTTATTTCACGGTTCACAGTTAGTAAATCATTTCACCATAAGTGTTAGTAATTAAAAAATGAATACATTTCTTAGACACTGGTACGAGGTACGATGGAAATTTTAAAACCGTTTGCCAATTTCAAAATGATATCGCCTTGCAGTTGAAAGTCGCTTTGAGTGCGAGATGAAAATATCTTATATCGTCGTATAGTAGTTGAAAGTAAGACCTTCAACTGCAACATGGCAAACTTACGACCGACGCAGCTGCGCGGTCCAGCACTGAATGGTATAAAACTATAATAATGCCGTTGCGCAGTGCGTTCGGGTAAAAATCTATCCGGATCGAATTTTTCAGGATCAGGGAAAAGATCGGCTCGATGATGTACCGTGAATTGCGATATTATAACTGTCGTATCTTTAGCTATTGTATAAGGTCCCGATGCCAAATTAACATCTTCCTCAACTTTACGCGCGATTATGGGAACTGGCGGATATAAACGCAATGTTTCATTTATAACTCGTTCTAAATAATTCATTTGCAACGTGTCGGCAAATGTACAATCACGCTGCATATCAAGACCGAAAATCGCTTCCTGCTCCTCAACTACCCGCTGTTGTATATCTTGATGGATGCCGAGCATGCAAAGGGCAAAACTAGAACCAGCAGCCGTCGTATCATGTCCCTGAAAAGAGTTTAACATGCCGCTCTTAGTACTCTTAGTCATATAAATATTAATTTTTTTTTTTTTTTTAAACTTACTTCAAACATAATTGTGTTCACTTCATCCCTAATATCTTTATCGGTCCACGTAATATTCGGATTTTTTTCCATTTCCATCATTGCGTCTAATAAGGCCAAACGTTTCTTCTCGCCGACATCGTTCTCGTCAATTTCATCCAAATCGTCACGTAAACCTTCCTTCTTTTCATTTATCGTCTTCTTACCCGACACGGTACCGACTTTATCAATAACTGCTCTTTCGTTGGCATTAAAATTGCTTTTACGTTCTTCAACAACTTTTTGCGTCATACTTAATATTATGTTCATTAATTTATTATTTTTTTCAAACATTTTAGTCCATTTGTATAAGGCGTCCAAACGGTACAATAATCGAATTTGTCGATTATGTATAATATCACACATATCCATAACAGCTTTAGCATATTCCGAGCTCTTCTCTATATCAGGTGCTCGCTTAATACCCATCGCAGTGGTTAACAATATGTTAACTGTCGTCTCAGACATATACTCATGGACATCGAATTCTTTACCAATTTTATTATTGAATCGATCACATACGTCTTTCGAGTGTTGAACGAAAGTCGGAACAAAACTTTTTAGTATGCTTTGATGAAAGGTGGGTGCAATCATTTTGCGATGATGACGCCAATGATGACCTTTTGATATCAATAAGCCATCGCCGAACCACGGCTTAAAGTAACGATATTCGTATGCTTTTTCCAAATGTTTACTGCCACTCAATAATATTTCAATATCACGGGGATCGCTAAGCAATACGACATTTATATGACCCAAACTTACTCGTAATGTCTTTCCATATATTTCAGATTGTTTAATTATGTACTCGGTTAACTCGTGAGAGCTTTTCCCGATAACAACGTGACCGTGACCGATGATTGGCATTTCCGGCAGAGTTGGTATTTTACTCATTAATTTATATGAACGAGTATTGCGACGCCAATATTCATATAATGCGAATATTAATGGCACGGCAATCAATAATATTGATAATGGACTGTAGATAAATGTTGAGGACTCTGCGGTGAGTTCGGCGTTAACCGTTGAAGGCGACATTTTTGAAAATTATTATTTTTTTTTTTTTTTTTATTCTCACAGTTTTAATATCCTAGGTCTTCTTGCAGCTAAACTTGCAAAGTTACTCGTAGTTAGCTATTGCAGTTAGCTTTTTGAAATGAAATCTATTCACGCTTTGATTTCTTATTACTTTTATATTTTATTGAAATAACACAGTGCTACAAATTTCATTTTGCAGCATTAAATAGTGAAGAGAATTTTCTTCGTTAAACCAAGCAGTAGAAAGTAAGCCCCAGGCTCTAAGAAGTTCTATACTGTATAAGTTCGAAACCATATGAAGCTCTTACAATTACGTAACATAACAAGCTTGAACATTTTTAATGTTACGCTCATATAACGCATGTAAACTCTTGTCAATCTCTTTGTGGTACGTGACAAGGACGGAAGCTTTCTAATAGTGCAGGCGACATAGCAAATTTCTTATCTAATCAAACTATATATGTATTTGCAATAACCTGAATTTAATCACATGATGGCTTTTCATATCCATCAACAATCACTCAGGGAATTTGCTTACTCTTTGCACATACGATCAGTTACCGTAGCACGGTAACGGAACGGAAGTGACTGTAGCCTAGTAAATATGATGTTAGGCTGTCATCGAACGAATACTTAGCACAACTGCGATCAAGTATACTGTATCCCCATGACTTAATTAATTGCCATCCTTATCCATTTGCCTACGCATGTGGATAAATGTAGGAATACATAGGAATAAATAGATGAGTATTGGGAAAGAGACGAGATTTCCAAACTTTATATAAAACAATGTTCAGTTAAGATTATTCTCAAGTTGATATTATATAAAAAAAAAAAAATGTTTTTCTTTTTTTTTTTTTTTGCCGCAGACCAGTGTAGTTAGACTGTTTAACATTATATTGGCCATCGAACCACGTATAAATGAATTTCATTAAAATAAATAATTACTTTCATATATTATGAACAATTTCGAAGAAATTTTTTTCACCATTTTCAAAATAATAAATGCAGAAATTATTAATAATAATTAATCCGCGACTTTGAAATCTATTATAATATAGTAAAGGGCAAAAAGTAGGACTTTTAGCAAAGAAAATACTATATATATATACATACTTATATATATATATATATATATATATATATATATGTGATAAAGAATAAAAACAACAAGAAATAAATAAGATTAACTTTTGCAGATTTATGCTGCTTGCGGTCTTCTCATTGCATACTTTATTGTTAACAGCTACGATTACTATTTACTTAGTTTATAGAAATTTAAATGATTTACATAAAGTGTTTCCTTTCTCTTTGATAAAATCAAAATGAAATTGAAATCTATTTTTAGATAAACGGTATTTTTCATTGAGCATTGTAATTTTATTATTGAAGTACTATTGAAGAGATGTTTATCATATAAATAATAATTCGTAAGAAAAATTCGAGTTATCGTTAAATTATAAAAGTGAATTACTTCTCAATATAAGTAAAGATTATGTGCAATTAAAAGTAAGAGAAATCTCTTCCGTTTAATCGTTTTAAACAATGACTCGTGGCTCCAGAGATATATTGAAACCGTTTGCTAATTTCAAAATAATATCGGCCTGTAATAGAAAATCTTGCTCGGTACGACTCGAAACGATCGCAAAGCGTCGTGTCATAGTAGAGAGCAACACTTTCAATTGCAGCATAGCATATTTGCGTCCAACGCAGCTACGTGGTCCAGCGCTAAATGGTATAAAACTGTAATAGTGTCGTTTAATTGCACATTCCGGTAAAAATCGATCCGGATCGAATTTTTCAGGTTCCGGATAGATATCAGGACGACGATGAGTGAAATATTGCGGTATTATAACAGTTGTACCTTTTGCTATCGTATAAGGTCCTGATACCAATTGAGTATCTTCTTCGACTTTACGTGCTACCGCGGGCACTGGCGGATATAAGCGAAATGTCTCGCATATCACGCGTTCCAAATAATTCATATGCAATGTATCGCCAAATGTACAATCGCGTAACATATCATTACCGAAAATTTCTTTTTGTTCGGCATAAACTTTTCGCTGCACGTCTTGATGAATGCCGAGAAGACATAATACGAAGCTAGAACCAGCGGCAACCGTATCGTGACCCTAAAAAATATTACATAATCGCACATATTTATTATATAAAGATCGGTGTCAGTATTTGTAATATAATACCTCAAACATAATGGTATTGACCTCGTCGTTTATATCCTTGTCGGTCCATTCAATATTGGGATCATTTTCCATTTCCAGCATAGAGTCCAATAAAGCTAAACGTTTCTTTTCGCCCACATCATTCTCATCGATATCATCTAAATCATCCCGCAATCCCGTCTTCTTCGCTGTCGAAATCTTTCGACTCGATAATAATGAATCATCCAATCTCTCCTTAATAGCTCTCTCATCAGCATTAAAGTTAAGTTTTCGTTCTTTTATCACTTGTCGAGTCATATTTAATATTATGTTTAACAATTTTTCACCTTTTTGCCGCATTGCCGTCCATTTATAAGTGGCGTTTAGCCGATATAACGGTCTATACTGACGATTATGTATAATTTGACACATATCCATGACAGCCTGCGCGTATTCAGCACTCTTTTCAGTTTCGGGCTCGGTCTTGATACCCATAACCGTAGTCAATAGAACATCAACTGTTGCCTCTGACATGTATTTATGTGCGTCAAACTCTTGACCAATAGTTTCATTTAAACGATTGCATACCGCTTTCGAGTGTTTAACGAAAGTTGGAATGAAACTTTTCAATATACTTTGATGAAAAGTGGGAGCAATCATTTTGCGATGATGACGCCAATGCTGGCCATTGGATATAAGCAAACCATCGCCAAACCAAGGCTGAAAGTAACGATACTCATCCGATTTCTCCAAGTGCTTATGGCCATTTAAAAATAATTCAATGTCCTTGGGATTCGTAATTACTACCGCAATTATATGAAATAAATTTCCACGGGCTGTTTCTCCCAATTTTGCAAGGGCTGCAATTAGATTTAAACCAATCTCTACCGTATTAAAACCAATACCCAAATGTCCATGTCCCACGATAGGCATTTCCCGGAATGTCGGTATATTCTTCATTAATTTATATTCGCGCGTATTACGCCGCCAATATTCATACAATGCGCCTATCGTAACTAGACCAACGAATAACGTTAACCAAGGATTTGGCACAATCGCTGAGACAGTCGTCTCAGTCGCCGACGATATCAACATGATCGATTGCTATCCAATTAATATTAAGCAAAATTCCCCAAAAAAATATCCAATAAATATATCGAGTTCAACGTTTCACTTAATACTAGAAACAAATTACCCGAGACTTTCAATTTTATAGACTACATAACGATTATCATTTTTTGAATACGACAATGTGTGTAATATGTTTAAAAGTATTAATATTTATAATGAGAGGTGCATGATGGCCTGGACGACTTTTTAATAACAATGCAATATTCGATTAGACTGCAATACAGTTTTTCTTCTCTGAAGCGATTTTTTTTTTTTTTTTTTTTTTTTGAGTGCTAGAATTTTTTAATTAAATTAAAACATGAAAAAAAAAAAAAAAAATTCAGCAAAAACATTGAAATCGACATAGGCGGACCTTTAAATATTAAACAACGCCTTATATTTTTCATATAACGACTTCTTCAAATAAAGCGTAATATGCAAAGTGGTCCCGTTATCAAGATCGTTCGTCCTGACGCGAAACTGCATCGATTGCACCTGGAGAGTTAGATAGGTTTAAAAAGACAATGCAGGAGAGCGCTAATCCGTACTCACTCCGACAGTCAAGCTGCTCGAAAGGCCATGAAATGATTTGTCAGCTTGTGCTGAAATGATTTCACACCCTGAATAAGCTAGGGAAGCACAATGAGGTACACCTATCACGGGTACCCGGACATTCAGATATCGAAGGCATTCAAAGAACGGATTGTCGAGCCAGCAGGGTAGCCAGAAGAGCTATACCTTTTTGTGACGTACCAAGCAGCCACATCACAAGGCTGGTATCGCGGCAAAGCCCTTCGACGCAAAGTGTAGGACAACGGCGAGCTGAAGAATTCATCAAATCTTGCTGCGTTACACACAAGTTACTAAAACCACGAAAGAACGACATACGTGTCTGAACTGGCTTTAACACGGATCATAACTCATTCAGTTATCTCCTGAAATATATTGACATCTCAGGTATCGATTGGTAAAGATTCTGCCAAGGAGCGAAGGGAACGTCCCATCATACCCTGTGCGAATGTTCGAGCATTCGCAGGATCCAGAATACCAGAAGTATTTCACACGAACACTTTAAAGCACAGAGGCTAGGGGCACGAGCGAGTACAATAGATCTTCTTATAGGTCGCGGTACGGATTGCTCATCACCTTACATTACATTACATGGACAAATATCAGACGTTCAGATGGGCATACTGATGGGCTAATAGACAGACAATGGTAGATTGATTCAGAAAATGAGCGTAAATCGATTGGTATAATAAAATGTAGATCTATATCAAATCCCAACAGACTTCATATACCAAGTATCCACCACTACTAGATGCCGGGTAATAAATATGCTCATAATATAATTGTTAATCTCTTTTTTAAATAATTATGGTCCTCTTCTGTTCGTAGTAGTGCCATTATGATCGTTATGTTGACCCTTCGCGAAACGAAAACCAATTGCTGCTGGTTGAGCATTATAAATGTCCAAAAAATAGTCCAGTGGCATTTGGACAAATCATGTCAGAGATCAAATACTTCTCTTACTTAATTTCAAATTTCCGGTGCAAGCACGAGACGTCAGGCGTGTCCTTCTTATCTGCCGCCAAAGCTAATTTTTCTTAACAAATAGGCGACTAACCTATAACCCTGATGGATTTGAAAATTACTAGAGCTCGCTACATATTTCTCATCATTGGGCGTAACCGTTATATTTCCCGCAACTCTTACATAACAAACTAAGGCGAATATGCAGAAAAGCGATTTTTTACACGTGTGCGGTGTGCGGTTTGCAGTAAAACATTTGAACTTGAAGATGCTTGGGGCGTTCTTCAGTAGTCGAAGTCAGTAGTCGAGCTCCTCGGGAACTGCAAAATGTGTTTTAGAACTGTGCTACTCTCCAACATGGACCGCAAAATGTCATTATCGTCCAAGTCGACAGTCTTCCTTGAGACTGACACGTCGGGAACGGAAGTTGGCGAATCATCTTTGGCTCATTCAACCATTCACAATGTCATACTGCATGCAATCGGAAAAATTTGAAGTGAAATGGCATAAGGTATTCGACTTAGAACACTTTCCTCCAGTTTTTGCTCCAGAACTGCAAACTAGAACTTCGTAGATAGATTGTCTCGAATGTTTTAGATAAAATAACCGTTAAACTAATTGATCTAAACGAGTTTACCACAATTTTTCTTCTGTTCGGATCTGTTAGTCTAAATCTCCATTATTGATGCTTGACAAGAAAGTCACCTCCAACAATAAATTTTCTACCGCGATTGTCTAAATTATAATCATTGCCCTCCAATGAAAATCGGAGAGGAAATTAAACTGAGTAAATTCAAATATATCAGACCAATTCACATTAATACAAGAGAAGATGAAAGTAAAGAAAAAAAAAAAAATAAATAAATTCTTGTCACTTTCGGAAATCATGCAATCCCTTAAAACCCATTCATATGCATATAATAAGCGCACACCCACAACGATACAATGAAAACGAAAATTAGGGCAGGAATACTGACGTGATCCTGCCTTCCTATCTGCATAACATTTTAGAATCTTCAGTTGCCCACAGGAGGATATAAATGATTTGCCTTTTCCCTATTTAAATACACTATCGCACTGCACTATTGTTCTGTTCATTGTTCAGCAACACTTCGCTTGAATCCATTTTTGTCTGCTTTAGGAAAAAAACCTGTCCCTCTATTAGTATGTTTTCATTGTGTATTCCACTAAAGTCCTTTGTTTACGTACAAAAATCTTATGCATATAACATTAAATTAACGCCACCTAGTTCTTAAATAGAAAAACTGTTATCAAAGACAAACATCACCCATGAAATGTTTGCATGGATAGGTAAAAAGCAAGGCTTTTGTTTTTTCTCTCTTACGATAAACGGACAACTCTGTGCACAAATGCTTAAATAATTCTGAGGAAAAATTTTCAATAGAAAATCTGCGCAACCTGAGATGAATATAAAAATAAAGAACTTTGTAATCCGATTTATATTTTTGTCGTAGTTTTTTTTTTTCTGTTATTTTCATGCGGAAATTTAGATAAAAGTGATTTTATATGTTTGTACAAGCAGTTGTTTTTTACTTTACTTTCATTCTCGTTTTGGTTTTGATATGTTGCCGAAAATTTGTGATTCATTTTATTAAGGCGTGGACCATACATATACTGAAAAAAATGTTAAAATCGCAAACAGTTTGTCTGACGCATCAGGGAGTTTTGATATGTGCTTTATCAATAGCATGAGGAGTGTTTTCGATGAGATTTGAGAGCGATTTTAGCAATTTCACGGCCGGTGTACACAGCTGAACAAACGTGTATATAGCTAAGTGGACATGTTCGAATCGGTTCGAAATTTCATCACTGACCAAGAACGTATACGCTTTATAGGTACACTGCAACTTCTTCCTCGGTATTACATATATTTTCCCCATTGTTCACCCTGCGATACGTTTTATTATTAGTTCCCTTCGATTATACAATCGCTGTATGACTTCTAAGAAATCAATGTTAGCTCAGAAGTTAGCTTTATATCAATTATTAAGAGAATCTTCTGCAGATTTTTCATTTTGGCACAAACACTATAGGATTACCCTTAGGATGTAAATAGAAACTGTTATCATTGTATCTAAATTTCACTCTTAAAAACAAAAGTGTTCTCTATTTATGTCGTACTATGAGTGTGTCCCTCCAAACAACTTTTGCCTCTTTTTCATTACTAACCTGAAGGCGAGAATTTTCAATGTTTTCCCATGATGGTGATCGAAGAGGTGATCCGATCCGAACCATTTTCTATACCGTTCGTCCAATGAGAGCCATGATTAAAATCACTTTGAATGCAGTTGCTCTCTCTCTTTCTCTCTCTCTCTCTCTCTCTCTCTCTCTGTATATCTTTGGCATTTACAAACGAAAAAGTAAATAAGGAGTACTTAACAGTCGACTCTTCTTTTACCTAAGCCTTGTTATAAGGCTTGCAAGGCTTTTGCCTTATAAACGACGTTTCCTTCCTTTTTTTATACCCATTATGTGAATTGCAACGCTCAAAAGGAAACTTCAAAAACGCCATAGAGTGTATATATTCTTGACCAGGAACAATTTTGAATGCTTGAAGCACATTCGTTTGGCTGTCTGTCCATCTGTAAAATGTCTGTTGTAAACATTCCCTTGGCGCGCAAAAATTCAGCTATGGACTTGCGACTTTATAGAAATTTTTGAATTTCTTGCACGCAGGTTGGTATTGAAAATAGGTTAAATCGGTCTAGCGGACATACCTCCAATGCTACACAAGCTGACAACACCTTTGTTTGTCAAACAAAATAAAAAATTCGTTTTTTGTTCATCACTCATAAACAACAGCACGTAAATCTCCAAACATTTGACCATATATTCTACGAGCGATGGTGTAGTAAATCAACAAATATGAAAAAATCCGCCACGCCTACAGAATTTTTTTAAGTGATTTATAATTTAATTTTGCTTTTGTTTCAAAACTTTTATAACGCACAGAACCAAGATTCAGGAACCCCTAAGCATATCCGTCCATTCAGCTGTCCATCTGTCCATCTGTCCGTCTGCGCAACTGTGCAATATCTATGGTTAACATTCTCCCGTTCGTAAAAGTGAAGATATCGGTCAAAAAATTTGGAAAAGAATTTGAAAATGAACCAAACTTTTCAAAGAACATGTCTACACTGCCCGCCCATACGTCTATGTAACAAAAACTGAGCACACATTTGTTTTCCATGGTTTTTGCTCGTTACTTTTTGTAGCGTGCAAAACTTACACCTTATAAATATTCGAAAAATGGCGAAAATCAATTGCGATGGGTGTAAAAGATTTGCGATTACTGCGAGCAAACATAAGTTTCTTACGTGTTACGCAATACGTTGAGTACTCAAAGAAAATCTTAAATTATGAAGTGTCACGATGCCTTCAACATGCATTCACTTCGCATATTACGCTCAGTATGAGCAAAAAACAATGCAAGCTAATACTTAGTCTATGTTAAGTGAGAGTTCGGCTTCCATAAAAAGATTGCTTGGATATTAAACGGTAGCCGGGAACTCTTCTTAACTCGTATATATATATATATATGTATATATGTTTGCGAAAAATTAACGCATAGCTTTACATGAGGATGTTCATGTGAACGAGGATAAAAATTACAAATCTCATGATAGCCATGCCCCCAATTTTTTCATCTATTTATTTACCCTAACATTTATACGCATTACAATACGAGCTGCATGCCTCTTACTGGCACGGATAGAAGAACTCCTTTGTTTGCAATGTTGTACTGCTTATGATCTTTATTTTATTTGATCTTTTGCTAATAAAGTCTACAACTAGTGTTAGTAACGAAATGGATAACAAAAATTATTCATGTTCTAATTGTTCCTCGGTTGTTGTTCCTCTTGCTAAATCACTTGCTAAATTTTTCTACAATTGTTAGTATCGAAAAGGAAAAAAGAAATATATCGAAAAATAAAAGAATATAACGGTACAGATATCGTTTACGCATAGGTACGTGGCTCAAGAGAAATTTGAAAGCCGTTTCCCAATTTCAAAATGATATCACCTTGTAATCTAAAGTCTTTGTCGGTACGACTTGAGAAGACCTTATATTTGCGAATGATGGTTGAAAGTAAAACTTTCAGTTGCAACATAGCGAACTTGCGACCGACGCAACTACGCGGTCCAGCACTAAACGGTATAAAACTGTAATAATGCCTTTGTGCGGTGCGTTCCGGTAAAAATCTATCAGGATCGAATTTATCGGGATCGGGATAGAGACTAGCCTTTCGATGAATGATAAATTGACTTATTAAAACGGAGGTGCCCTTCGGTACGAGGTAGGGCGCCGACGCCAGTTTAACATCCTCCTCAGCTTTGCGAGCAATTAACGGTACGGGCGGGAATAACCGAAGGGTTTCACATATTACGCGTTCCAAATAATTCATTTGCAACGTATCGGCAAACGTACAATCACGCTGCATATCAAGACCGAAGATAGCTTCCTGCTCCTCAACTACCCGCTGTTGTATATCTTGATGAATACCGAGCATGCAAAGGGCAAAACTAGAACCAGCAGCCGTCGTATCATGTCCCTGAAAAGCGTTTAACGTCACATCTACAACAGTACAAACATTTTAAACTTACTTCAAACATAATTGTGTTCACTTCATCCCTAATATCTTTATCGGTCCACGTAATATTCGGATTCTTTTCCATTTCCATCATTGCGTCTAATAAGGCCAAACGTTTCTTCTCGCCGACATCGTTCTCGTCAATTTCATCCAAATCATCACGTAAACCTTCCTTCTTTTCATTTATCGTCTTCTTACCCGACGCGGCAGCAACTTTCTCAATAACCGCTCTTTCGTCGGCATTAAAATTCCTTTTACGTTCCTCAACAACTTTTTGCGTCATAGTTAATATTATGTTCATTAATTTATTATCCTTTTGCCGCATATTCGTCCACCTATATAAAGCGTCCATGCGATACATCATTTTAATCTGGCGATTATGTATGATATCGCACATATCCATAACAGCCTGAGCATATTCGGCGCTCGTCTCCAGTTCGGGTTGTTTTTTCAAGCCCATCGCGGTAGTTAATAATATATTGACTGTTGTCTCAGACATGTATTTATGACAATCAAAATCTTTACCAACTTTAGCCAACAAACGATCACATACGTCTTTAGAGTGCTGAACGAAAGTCGGAACAAAACTCTTTAATATGCTTTGATGAAAGGTGGGAGCAATCATTTTACGATGGTGACGCCAATGATGACCTTTCGATACTAATAGGCCATCGCCGAACCATGGATGAAAGAAACGATATTCTACGGACTTTTCCAAATGCTTTTGACCGCTTAAAAATATTTCCACATCAACTGGATTACTTATCGCTACGACATTAATATGACCCAAGGATAGACGTAATGTGTCGCCGCCTTTTCGCATTAGGTCAACAAAAATGTCAAGCATTTCTGGATTATTTCGTAGCAGGACATAATGACCATGTCCAACAACAGGATATTCCGGTACTGTTGGTATATTCTTCAGTAATTTATATGCGCGGGTATTACGGCGCCAGTACTCGTATAAGGCAAGTATAAGAACCAAACCAACAGCTGCCGTCAAAAACGAGTTGAAGATAGAGCTCGACGCAAAGGATTGATTCGCTACATTCGCCTGTACAGTGTCGTTAACTATATCCATAGACATGTTGTTATTTCAATTTTATCCCTAATTTTAATTTTGTTACAAATTTTCACCGTATCAAACTATCGGCCCCAACTGGATGTATTAATCAACAGAGGTCTTGGTTGAAACTGACATGTACCTGCTAGCCATGTAAATTGTTATATTAATTTCAACAACCAAGAATTGCATAAATTATTTATTTATTTTTTTTTTTTTTTTTTTTATTCTTTGTTCATTTTAAATTGTGCTTTTAATTAAGCACATTGTCAATGTTTGGATTGTACAAAGTGCTGTAATGAATTAGCAAAAACAAATATATGCCCAATGAATATTCATGAAGACAAGTAAGGAAAGAGCCGAAATTCCCTGCCATATGAAACGTGAATGTACTTTGCTCTATATGTTAGCTAAATTAAGATTATGATCCATCAAAATATTACAAATTATTTAGGAGTTTCCACGAATTAGTTCGATTCGTACTAATTGACGAAAGTACTGACCATTATTGGTGGCTACGACTTTTTCCCATCTCTAGCAATTTTCAAATTTCATTTTGAACCAATGTCTCGACCGTTGCGGTCATCTATTCGAATCCCGGTTAATCGGAAGCAATAATATCTGCTGATGAAAGAGGGTTAACACATTCCAGATTCGAACTGAGGCCGAATCCTTTCGGGATATCGAAGCTTTTGGAATATCACGCCCACCTTTTGTGCCAATCGTATCAATTTTTATTGGTAGAGTTTCTTGGCGATAGATGATTCTGGGTGGAAGAAACTCCACTCAGTCGATCCATCAATATAACTTGTGTCATCTACGCCGTACATAGTAACGCGTGCACTGTCCAATACTCGTAAGGTTAGGGCCACGTCACACCTACTTATTTAAGATAATAGAAAACTGCCAAAGAGCTATTATTATATTAGACTGTCTACAGGTTACATTTGTGTCTGGACATTTAATGGACAAGTTCGATTTCATTCACAATAGCAAATTACGAGAATGGATTCCTTCTGGCGAACTCTTGCAAATGTCTTCATCCATCCTCCATATCGATCGTATATAGTGGCGATGAATATTCGGGTAGTGTGGATGATAGTTCTGTCGATTTCTTTCATTAATTTTCCGCTTGAATGTCTTTTGAAATACAAGTCAGTCTCTTCCTTACTGCCATCTATGTCTAAAGATGCCGAAGTCGTGGATTTGATTGGTAGGTCTACTCGCTCATTTCGCAAGAGACCAATATGGCTCGGTGTTCACGAATAATATAATATCTATTTTATCTCTGTATTGTGGCATTGGAATTCGTGACTCTATCGAAGATGTTCCAATTAGAATTTAACTCTTAAAGGCATGAATTTTCATTTTAAAAAAATAAAACGGAAAACGGGCGCAGCTAGCGGTAAAAGGAAAAAGCCACATAAGAATATTTTCTTTAATGTTCAAGAAAACACATTGATGTATTCCTACATCATCATGCATATACTCCTCAAAACATTGCAAAACATGAAAATCCATGAAACAACTTTTGGCGTTTTTTAGCCTTTAAAAATAAGGGAAAATTGCATTCGCTACCCGACCACCCTGTCTGATACCCTTACATAGTTGAATTTCGAAGACCAATGAGTTTGAAAATTGAGGTCATTGATCAAGGCCGTCTCTTCGTACATCCATAGACGGAAAAGGATGAGATGAGACCTCTCTAGGGTTCTCGCCTATAAACTTTGCTGTAATGAGACATTACTGGGCCGACCTCGTTTATTGCCATTTATCAGAGACCCGACCAATCACTATGGTGATTGGAACTAACCAAGATTTGGCAGTTCTATGGGTTGCTCAAACCCATCCAGCGATCCATTGAAGATTTCATTTACATTTGCATTAACAATAACTTGATAATAAGTTCATCGCATGATTTCTTCTTAAGCTTTTGATTTTTACTTGACAAGGGTAGGAGAGGAACCAACTCATAAAGAATTACCTTAACATGATCAATCAATGCATTTATCTTATATAACTTGTGGTACGTTTTGTTTTTTTTTTTTTTTGCCTTTTGGCTTTAATTCCCTTCTCCAAGACTTTATAGTCTTCACTTATTTGCATCATAAAATATAAAAAATTCGAGTTTCTTGCGATTTCGTAAGGACAGTCATATCAAACGGAATTCAAAAATTGCGATCGCTATGTCGAACACAAGAATACATACACAAACATGAGGCGGACAAACAGACAGACAATCAGAAAATTATTTTAAGTCGAGCAATATAACGAAAGAAAACGCTATCTTAATTCTTTCTGGGTGTTACATACATTCGAACATGTTTAATGCAACAATGCGCTACACGTCATGTAGAGTAACAATACGCCTCAATTAACCATAGCTTTCATAACGATTTGATATTACGCCGAACTAATATTCGAAATTGCATATTTTTCCAATTGAACAACTTTTCCCACATATGACGTTATATAGGTAGTGCTTGTGAGAATGGTTCGATCTAATTCCCGTTCCCGACACGATTTATTCTTGGAATAAAGCATGTCACGAACATGTAACAAATTTGATCAAAATATGTCGGAAATTGCAACTTGCAAGTTGAACATAAAAATATATCGATAGATATTAGCTGGACAGATGGACAGACGAGTTTAAATCGATTCAAAAAATGGTTCCGCATTTATCCATCTAATAAAAAGTGCATCTATCTTAAGTCCGCGCAAACTTAATAGGCTCTCTAGCACAAATATTTTATTCTTTCGTATATTGTGGAATTCTTGTCTCTAATAATCGGCTTAGATGCGTCAATTGTTATTGATAGCGTTCCACATTAAGTTATTGAAGCAATACATAGATCATAATATTCGGTTGACCCTACCAGAGCACTAGTTGGACGACATGAACACTTTGCTTTACCATCGATCAATGAGTGAGATAATTTATCCAGTATCGTCTAGCCTAAGAAACTAATTACTTACTATAAAGCCCGGCTAGTTTTGAGAGTAGCTTTGTCTAATTCACAAATCACGTCGTATGAAGCACTGTTTCTCAAGCAGCGCATTCCCTTACACCTAGCTACCGATTGATCACCACTCTCTTTGAAGCGATTTCAATTTTCAATTCAATTCAATTATAGAAAGTATTACAGTCATTATTATAATGCTTTAGTTCCAGCCACAATTTATATACGATTTTCATTTCGATGCTTATGTCAGGTTGAAAATTCTAACCTTAAATTTCAACTCTTAGTTTAATTGTCATAGAAATGGTGCTGGCCTTTATACGCCACTAGCTATCTACCTGCTTGAGAATGTACATGTAAGGACTCTTCCGGTATGAGATACAAGAAAAAGAGGCAGATTCACTCTCATCCGCCAAATAAACAAGTGCTTCTTGAACTACTTAGCAAAGGCAAGGAATAGCAAAAAGGTTCATAACCTTTACCTGAAAGCATTCATGAAACACTAAAGAATTCAAAAAAAAAAATCACTTGTTGTGATAGAGATAAAATGTCAAAATTGAGATTAAACAACGGAAATGGTATTGTATGTGAGAAGAAAAGATTTCATTTTCATTTCCATTTCCATTCGCGACTTAAATTAAATCGAAACCGCGAACAATACATGCATATCGCATGTAGCGCACTTCGAAGAGATTCCTATTCTTGAAAACCACAAGAAAGAAATCTTTCTATTATCGCAATGACTTTATACCCTTTAATGTAATGTACTTATAATAGATATTGAAGGTAAAGCAGATATATAGAATACTAACGAATGAATGTTCTTTTATATATACATATATATATAACACCTGGTAGCGGTTTGAAATTTAATCCAAACACGTGCTTACTTTAGAGGCAATAGTGTGCTCTTCGAAGGTAAAGTTATAAACAACCAAACATTGAAACCTTAATGTATTTGAATTAATTACGTTACGTAAAGCGTGGAGTTTAATGCCATCTAAAAAACATTTGCTTTGCATAACTTGCAGATCACGACTCTTCGTTAATTCCTCAAATTGAAAGTTATAGTATAACTCGCATGACCGTAGCTCAATCGATGCATAACGCTTAGCGATTCAATTCCACTCTCCCTATCTCCTTCTCTTTTCTGGCTTCTTCCTGCCCATCATCGTGTTACACGAATACGGGACATCGCCTGTGAATGATTGACAGCAAAAGCCTAAGATGCTCATGGATGACGAAAGTAGGTGTAAAACTCTCGAGACGCCCGAGCATCAGCGTAATTATAGGCTGTGTGGTGCTTATGGGTATGTACATCCAGGTTAAGTATTCTATAGAGATAAACAAGATATGGTCCTCAATTAAATCCTTGACGAGGACTATAAGGCTTTATTAGCGTTTCGCTCGAATCGTCCTGGAATTGCCTGGATATCGTACGACACACTACCGCAACTCGTCGCTTCTTAATCACGCTGCCGCCTCTGTGGTTGTGGTTGGCGAGTTCCTAGCTAAAATGGAACAATTGAGTGCAGCTAGGCCTCGCCATTCACCAGAGTGGGGTTTATTGTTCCATACACAATAAACTATTCTGGTGCTGTTTAGGCCCCTACTCTGTGGGGATTGCCTAACTCGCCAGGGGGCGTAGTACGCTTAAAAGTGGTTTGGGCCACCGAGGGGTTAAGCCTTACAGGCAGGAACCCACGTTAAACCCTTGCCACAAATTCTGCCGCCTCTGAAATAACCTACCAGCAGCAGTAGTCTACCCGCCGTGCCTTACGTTTTCACTTTTAACTTAAACGGACACAAGCATCACTCGCTCTTTCTATCCTTCTTTACTAATAAATTTTCCTTACAACCATCGTGAGTGTCTGGTCATATACAAAAAAGGGACAAAGAGTGATCTTGATTTTCTGAGAAGCTCTGCAGAGAAATAAATTTAAATTTTCATATAATTGATCGTATAAAGTAGAACTTTCATGTTATCCTTCTATTTTAGCAACTAACTCAGATGAGAAGGCAAAGAAAATCCTGTAGAAAGTAAAGTGGGTACAAAAGCTATAATGCCACCAGTCGATTGTAGAACCCTGCTTCTACTAAGATATGCTTTGAAGCGCCAAGTTGATCTCTATAGTGTGATTAAACAGTTCAAATCTGTGCATATTTGCGAACAACTTTGACTAAGATTCCACCAAGAATACTAACTCAAAATAAAACTACTTAAGCCGTCTAACGAATATTGTTGTTAATAACGAATATAAGATTCGTCGGTATAATGCGAGTGCATGAAAAAACAAAAATTTTTATTAGAAATTCCTGTAGTTGTCCGTTCTTTTGGAAATATATCTAGACTATCTAAAAATGAAAAGAAACGCGTTATTCGGAAAAGCATTGAAGAATAGCGCGTTTATTGAAAAAAATAAATTGAAAGAAAATTACTATTATAATATGTGTGAAACGATACACTTACTTCTGCACATGCTTATGAGCCATTTCTTAGCTAACGAAGTGAACTCCTGTCTAAGCATTTGTAAGCAAGTGTAGCAAGACAGGACAACCACTCAGCTTAAACTAATCTAAAATTTTTAGCTGAATTAGTTATAGTTTGCTAAATGTTTTCCTACAAACCACTCTGCGTCTTAATGTGAATGTAAATCGAAAATAAATTTTTATGAACGTATTTGCCTTAATTATATTCTATTCACAAAGAAAGTAAATCTTGGCATATTTTTAGGCAGAATGATTCTCCCGTCGACATTTGTATTTCCGCATTGTTCCATTCCATTATTACACTTACTCTACATTTCTTAAATGCCTCATGCAATTCTCTCATATATATATATATAATTGTCGTTTTGTTTTTTTTTTTTTTGTTCTAATGAGAACAAATAAAGCAAGAAACACCGTTGTCTCCGTTAAAAGGATTCCATTCTTTACATAACTATTCAAAGTATAAGTGTTTAAAGAAACGCAACTTTTAAAAAGAAAAAGTTTAAAACTTCATTCACCCATCCTCATTTCAACATAATCAATATATAAAATAATCTTTATATTACTCACCTTTAATTATTTTATAAAAAACGAAGATATTTCAAACGTCTTGCATGATAATTTATTCTTAAGCACATTTAACCGGTATGATTATCAAATATTAAATTAAACAACATTAAGAGAAAACAAATTAAACGGGAATATATAACGTCTTATTTTGCATTATTTTTTTTATTTTATTTTTATTTCTTTGGATGAGACGTAGATCACAAAACAAAAGCACACTCTTACGATTTAATTGGTTTACTTTTTAACATCTAAATATAAGATCAAATTAACTTGTCAACGAAGGACGGGAATTTAAACTGAATTAATTGGCATAACCGAAACCATCTATACGGAGAAACGTGGACAAACTTGCTTATTAGAATAGTAAGAAGGGAATTTCGAAAAGCTTACAAACATAGCGAGAGATAATGTGATATGGGCTCATGATCTTTCAAATTGAATAAATTAATATAAACCGAACTTTGAAAAAATTTTATCCGAATAGTTATATAATAAATATTAATCCGATAAGGAAGTTTTTGATTAATTTCACATTCTTTTCTCCTCAACATTTGCAATTTACATACTCACGATCAAAAGACTCCGAAGAAATTGATGAAATATCAGTGTTGTAAAACGAAAGGACTGATAAAAAGTGCTACCAAATCATTTATATATTTTCTTAATAATTAAATGTTAATTTCTTGCAATTTGAAATTGATCTGCAATTTTTTGTTGAAATCTTCTACACATACTTCTTCTCATCCGTGGCAAATTGAAAAATCGAAGGGGTAATCATGGAAGCAAGGCGTCGTTTTGATCCCCTATTCTTGTCTTAGCAGTCCAAAAATTGTTGTATGGATTCTATGAACGATTACGAATGTAACGTAAAAACTGGATGTACCTTGGTTTTGTGTCTGCTCGCAGTATGGAAGAAACCGGAACAATCTCGAAAAATCGCCACGTCTGAAATAGTCCCGATCGGTTCATTTTAATCTCAATTTATTTCTCAGGTGTGCCAACACACGTTAGCATTTTTTCGAACCAATAGCAAATTGGAAGTAAATTGGAATTAAATTTTTATCCGTAATTGTGGGCGTACTAGTGAACCGATCAGGACCATTTTTGGATCAAATCGGAAGGTGGATTTGGTGCACATTTAGCTAAAAAATTTCCTGAAATGTTTTTTTATGATCGAAAGATATAAACGAAGATATGGACAAATTATCTTTTTTTTTCGAGATTGTTTTAGTTTCTCATTTATGGTGGGCGTGTATGTGGTCAGATCACAACCATTTTCGTTTTAAATTGGATTATTAACAGATCGAGGAATGTTTACGCCAAATTTCGGCCTCCTATCTTCTGCGATTATAACAATTCGACAAAAAAAGGAAATCAAAATGATCCTTTCCGGTAGAAATAGCTATCTGCAAAATGTCGACAGTTCTAATATTAAGAAGAAGAAACATGGTTTATACCCGAGTTACAGAAGGCAAGAAAGTTTTTTGATTTTCCTGTAGTTCCAAGTGCTTTATAATAAGCCATAGCACGCCCTTAAAAAGTTTAGAAAATTGTCTGAACAACAATGTTTCAAAGTTGAACGTGCCATTCTTGCTCCTTAAATGTTTTACCAATCTTTTACGCTGCAATCCAATGAAATTGTTTAATGTATAATGAATGAATAAAAACAAACAATAAACTTTTCATATACGCCTGCTTTTGCTTATTTTCCATAAGATAACATAAAACCATTGCAATTACTTTTCCTTCTGTAGTTTTATATTCTGTTATAATAATAAAAAATTTCAGACGATTGTTCTCAACATGCCAAAATTTATGATTAATCGTCAGAATGCCTAAAACCCGCAAAAGTTCATAACAGCGATTGGACATTTGCTTGGGACATGGGATATATGTTTATAATGTTTCAATGATATTCCTCAGAAGACCTCTGCTGGTCTTGCCTACAGAAACTTATTTTATTATTATGTTTATATAAGGAACTTGACACAACGATTTCGTTATGCGTGGTGCATGGCGCACTAAATGTTGAAATAAAATTGATTGTGAAAGTAAATTTTTAAAATTTTGTTTGCACAACTTTTGACAATCAAAACAGGGATATATTTGGAAACAAGACATAATCGTATGATTAATATATTAGTCTTAACAATTGTTATTTGCATTTACTAAAAAAATTTTATTGTAACAACAAGAAGCAAGAGAGAAAAATGAAATTAAATTATTACATATAATATTTTTCCCTTTTCTTTCATATCTTGCTTTAAAAAAACATTTTTAAAAATAGTTTTCACTTTATCAATTTTACACTTCCTCATTAACGTTTATATAACCAAACATTTAACTGCCCTTTAGCAACGCACGCAAACTATGTGTTCAATTAATTTTGCATTATGCGTTGTTCTACTCATCAGTTAAAAATAATGCTTTTGGAATTGTGACATCCTTAAAAAACAAGACTTGAAAATGTATATTACCGCATTTGTCATACAATATATAATTATTAAAAATTAAAAATGGCGTATTTGAAAAGTATATTGTTTTTCATCTCTGGACTTTTTAGCACATTGTTATTGAAACTCAAACAAATATTGAAAAATTATGACCGTAAGTAAAGCGGAAAGTTTCCGAAAATACATGATCAAATATGTCTTAATAGACTTGACGTTCAGGCATTACATTAAAATGAATACAAAAACTTTCAGGATTGATTTAATCCCGCATATGATGAAATACGCACACAATAGTTTAAGAGCTTCCTGTTTCCAAGCAGCAAGTTGAGATTTAGAAAAATAATCATCAAAAGAATGAAAATGCTTAAAATATCATACGTAATAAGAACACTACCTGATTTTGGAATATTTACCTTAGATGAGTATTTAATTTAAGATCCTCTTTCATATCAAAACTAATTTACTTGTTTCGATTAATTTAAATATGACCATCTCTTGAAATCTCGTGAAGTTTTTTTAAGGTAATAGAACAGTTCTCAGAAGTTATTTTGACATCAGTTTCAAGGTTCTTTAATCGATTTTTCCGCGATTTTGTTTAAGTGAAGGGCTGTATATGTAAAATCTCATTCGATTTCCATAATATAGCTAAGAGTGTTAAAAACGTGAAAGAGTTTACAAGTTTGTTTGCATTCGATAGACATAATAAATATTCCGATCATATTTTTTGCTTCTCTCACTTTCTCAACTTTATTAAGATTAGTTAGGAAACTTAAAACATTTTCTTCTTTACCGCCGTATAGCGTTCCATATAAACGTCGTAGCCTTCTAAATCGCTAAATTGTTTTGAATTAAATAAATTACCGTCGACGGCCAATATAGTAATTTTTGAATCTTTGAGTATCCGTGGTGTAAAAGCTGTTACTTGCAAACAGTTCTCCTCTAAACGTAAAGTTTTTAGTTTTGGACATGCGGCCACTCCTTCGGATAAGTTTGATATTTGATTTTGATTCAGATTTAATTCCGTCACATGCAACGTAGCAATTTCGTTGGGTATAGAAGTGATTTTATTTCGTGATAAATCGAGAATGTCAAGGTGTTTAAGACCGCATAGCATTGTCGGAAATTCTCGAATTTGATTGTGGCTTAAATTCACGGTTTTTAAATTGGTGCAATTTGACAGCGAATCAGGTATCTTAGCAATCATGTTATCGTTCATTAGCATCACTTCTAATTTCATCAACTCACCCAGCACTTGTGGTAATTCTACTATTTGATTACCGCTCATATTGAGATGCTTTAGTAGCGTTAATCGACCAATTTCTTCGGGTATTCGTTCAAATCGATTTTGTGACAAATCCAATGTTTTTAAAACATTTGGATACGCCTTGAGTTGAGGAGGAAAGTCTTGCAATCGCTGTAAAGAAATTTTCAAGATTCCAGTTTTCTGTGCCGTTTCCAAATGTTGCTTGATTTGCTTGTTCCCCATGTCTAGGGCACTTGATGAGTCTTGAAGATATCAAATATATTTTTAGTTTTTATAAGTGGAAATTGAGAAAGTTTAAACAAATAAATAGTGAATGCTAATACTGGTATGTGTGAAAGTATGTTTAAGTAATTTCCTTTTGTGACTTTACTTTTTTGCAACATTCTTCCTCTTTTTTTAACAGCTGCTTAAATTCCTGTGAGAAAAGCTACCAGATTGTGAAAAAACGAATAATTTAGGAGAAATTAAATATAAATTAATTTAAAAAACAAATTGATTTAAAAGCCGGAAAACTGTTTTGGATATATTTTTATTGATTAAATATTTGTATTATATTTTTCTTGACATAGGCACATATGCACACCAATATGTATATATATATATATATATGTATGTGTCATAATACTGTTTTTTACTGTGTGGCGTAAGTTTTTTTTTGTATTTGTTGTGTGCGTTGGCATTTTAACGCATCAAGAGAAGAAAATATTAGTAAGATTTTGAATAGGAAACAAAAAACTAGAATGATACATAGTTTATTTATTGTTAATAATAGTGGGTAAGCATATTAAGTTTTGCTTAAATTAAATGAATATAAAACGAAAGTTTCCTTTCTAAGTGATGTGTTCCTAGAGAAACATTGGCGTTCAGTTGTTTCTCGTTCTGTATGCGACTACTTTCTTGACGCGCAAAGGAATTCACCATATGTAATCTACTGTTATTTGCTTTATATTACACTAAGTTGAACTGATTTCTTTCCAGGATGTCCCTCCAGTTATTTCGACACCTCATTTCTATCTTATTACCGTGCAACGTAAAGGCATTTCATTTGTAGCTGCTTGTAAGCAAGAAGTGCCACCTTTGTTTGTTATTGAATTTTTACATCGCGTTGCTGACACATTTGAAGATTATTTTAGTGATTGTTCGGAATCTATAATTAAAGAAAATTATGTAGTTGTTTACGAACTACTGGACGAAATGTTGGATAATGGTTTTCCTTTGGCGACAGAAAGTAACATATTGAAAGAACTAATCAAACCGCCTAATATTTTAAGAACAATTGCTAATACAGTAACTGGAAAAAGCAAGTAAGTGGCAATTTAGTCGTGAATAGAATTCAGCAAGAAGCTATAATAAATTGTTATAGTGTTAGTACCACATTGCCTTTGGGTCAGCTGTCTGCCATACCTTGGCGTCGAAGTGGTGTACGCTATACCAATAATGAAGCATATTTCGATGTGATCGAAGAAGTGGATGCCATTATAGACAAATCTGGGTCCACTGTATTTGCGGAAATTCAAGGCTATGTAAATTTTATAAACGAATTTTATATTAAGAAAACTTTGGTTATTTCTTTAATTTTACAGATTGATTGTTGCATAAAGTTGTCGGGGATGCCTGACTTGACTTTATCGTTTATGAATCCGCGCCTATTCGACGATGTCTCTTTTCATCCTTGCGTGCGCTTTAAACGTTGGGAAGCTGAGCGCTTATTAAGTTTTATACCACCTGATGGTAATTTCCGTTTGATGTCGTATCACATCAGCTCTCAGTCTGTGGCCGCAATACCTGTTTATATTAGGCATAATTTCTCGATAAAAACCGGCGAACAAGGACGTTTAGATTTGACCGTAGGTACTCGTACGGTTATGGGACGTTCCGTAGACAAAGTAAAATTAGAACTAGCTATGCCGAAATGCGTACTAAACTGTATTTTAACTCCGAATCAAGGTAAATATGCTTTTGATTCGGTTACGAAAATTTTAACATGGGAAGTAGGACGTATTGATGTTACAAATTTACCAAACATACGAGGAACTGTAAGTACTTCTCAACTTGTTTGATAATAATAAACATTTTTGAGCTTAATAATTATCTTCGTATGTATAGGTTTCCATAACACCCGGCAGTCCCAATTTAGATTCGAATCCTACCATAAATGTTCAGTTCACTATATCTCAAATGGCTGTCTCTGGCCTTAAAGTAAATCGCTTAGACATGTATGGTGAAAAGTATAAACCATTTAAAGGTGTGAAATACATAACCAAGGCTGGTAAATTTCAAGTGCGAATGTAACGCAATTAAAAACACTTAAGTAATTCGAATTAACCTGAAAGAACATACATTTACAAGAACAAAAAGAAACGAAAAAAGAGAGTTCATTTTTTATATACAATAAGAAAAGAAAAAAAAAAAACTATTTTTGAAAAGGTATATGTTTAGTTAATTAATTGCTTTACAATAGTAATATATTTACTTCTTTAGTTATAGAACTTCAAGATATTAAAATTTACACACGCAGACAAAAAAGAAAAAAAGTAAAAGAAAAGTAAGGGGAGATTAAAGCTAAAAAAAACTTACATATATTTGAAATAATTGTACCTAAATCTTATTAATTTTTCAAGGTAAGTTTTTAATAAAATTATTAATATTATTTAGTAAAGCACCCATTCATTCAACTTCATTTTGAACCGTTAGTACATTATTCGAGTAAAACAACTATTCTTGGTACTAATGATGTACGCTTTCGCTTCATCCCATAGAAAATGTGTTATGTTTTAGATGTGCAATCACGTTCCTGGTTATTTTCAATCATTGTAAAATTGAAAATTTCAATAGAAATACAAAAAATATTTTATTTTGGAGTGTTGGTAACTGGCGTTTTAAAGCTAGCTACAAAAGGGAAGCCCTGGTCGAACAGACAATAAGACAATATCGGTTGTAATCAGTGTTAATAAAAAGTCTGCTGATAACATCGGGTAAGGTAATACATTCAAGGTTAGCTGAACACAACTTCTCCCGGTAGTTTCTGTTATGTGAAATCGAATGTTATTATGCTGAAATAACGCAATATCATGAGCTTCGGTATATTTCTCCCGTTTCTGAGCTTAGTGACATCAGTTCTTGTTAGTATCATTCCGTAACGATGGTTCGCTTGCTTGGAAGCGAACCATACAGCGCAGTCAGTTATCCCGCTCGGATGAGACCGTCACGGACATTCAACTTTATTGCCCATGTTAATAATTCGTCTCGCTTGCATCATTATTATTTTCGCCTTAACTATCGCAAGTGCATTCAATGTTTATTACCCGGGAGAAATATATTTCGAATTCATATCGTTTTTCTTTTCTTTTTTATATTCGTAGTCATACGACATGTTGTTTGAATGACCGATTGTTGTTGCCAGATATGGCATATGTGCCATTAGGGCCGCGAGAACTGTTTAGACTGTTCGTAGCTTAAGTCTTTTGTTTTGTTCGACGACACATTTTAGTTAAGATGTGTTCTATATTTGTTTTTAAATGCTGAACAACAAAACCTTATTAATTTTTATACCCTTCGAAAGCCAAAGATATGGCGTTCGCAAGGAAGAATATTTCGTTGTTTTTACTTCCTTCAAAATTTGAAAAAGAAGAGGAATTCATATCGAATGCAATTAAAGCTTTAAGTCTGTCCATCGACTCATTACTATACAGGGATCCGGTTACAGGGTTCTCGGTATCAAGCCATCGTTCGTTACGAAACATTAGGCTTCTCTTTTGTTCGTGCAATTACGACGTAGTGTAAGGAAATAACTCGAAGAAGAGTAAGACAACCAAGTAAATAAACAAACCACATATGTAAGTTGAAAAAAGTTGGTGGAAAAATTAAAATCTATTAAACAAAAACGTTAAGGTTAATAAGTTGCATTAAATATCACATATCTAGCTCCATATGCTGCTCTACTTTTTGTTCTGTTTAATGATTGTTTCGTTCCACATCCCACATTCGTTTATCTTCTCATGTGTTATGGGGCACCTACATCGAAACATCAGAGCATCGAAAACAATTATTTACTTTTATTATTTTTGCCAATATATTGGAATTTCAGAGATTAAATGCTCTTTCTGTCTGTCCATTCATGTTTTCAACTATATGCATTCCTAACTATACTTTACTTCCCTTTTGAACATGAACTTTGATAGCTATTTTCCTTTAGGGAAAACATTTTGAAAGTATTTGGTGGACAAAGAGAAAGCAACTTTCTAAACACTCGTAAAACGCCCGCCAAACAGTCTCCTACAGCCCTATGAAAGCTATTGTTAAAGCCAATTTAGTTGAAGCATAGCATATGAAAAGTAGAAGAAAGCAGAAAAGTGGTTTTCTTATACCTATTCATTAGAATAGTAATAGACACCTAGTTCCGAATTGTTGAGGCATCGAAAAACTAGCTTTACTTTCAAAATTATTTAAGTGAATCGTTGCCAGATATTTTCCTTTTGCGTTTAAATTCTACATTTCTCCGTATCAGGGTAGATCTATCTCCGCGAAGCTTTTAGAATTGATGCGCCTAGTCTTTAAACCTTTCGCTAGTCGGTTGCAAACGGGCGTCATCTACAGCGACTGTAGTAAAGCCTTTGATAGAATTCATCATTTGGGTTCTACCTTATTTGCACATTTGTCGAGTCATCTCGCCTCTTGATATATGCAGACGATGTAAATGTTAAGCCGGCTTATAAGTCCGGTTATCTTACAAAATTCAAAAACGTCCAATTTGCGTTGCCATGTTAACGCTAGTTCGAGTCAACTTTCCCAGATTTGCAGAAGCAACAGAAGCAACACGCCCAACTATGACTGGGTCCTTTTTCGCTTTCTTCAGTTTGGTGATTTTGAATACTTTCCTTTCTCTTGTCCCGTTTTTAGTTATTTTTATTGTCTTCCCTATACGCTTCTTCTTGGCACTTTCATTTCTTCAAGGAAAATATGTAAATATTTGATCATGAAATCTACTGTACGGCACTTTCTCGACTCTTTTAAGCTTGTATTGCGTTTTGCATCCCTCTTTCACTGATCTTTTTTTCTTCTTTATTAGTATATAGGAAGCGTAAACTTGTGGCACCTGAAATTAGGTACAAACATATCGTCGTTAATCGGAGTAAAGAGAGAAAGGCTCGTTGGTTTGCTGGAAGCGATTTTGAGATTGTGTTTGTAATTCTAACTGACAAACGAGCATGAACACATCGATTTCATTTTTTCACGCCAACCAAAAAGAATATAAATAGTTTATGGCGGCTGCGATGCACATCCATATGCATTACAATCATCCGACTTCAGTAAATATAGCAAAAATATGCTCAATTTATGGTGTTCTCCGATTTCGTTTTTTTTTTGGGGGGGGGGGGAGGGGGGGGGGGGGTACGACTTCAGAAAATCAAATACAAAAAAATAAAAATATATTGTGGGGGCTGAGAAAAAAAAACATAAA